CTTGCCCTTTTTCATGCTCATTNGCCTCTTTTCTTCCATTCCTCGCTCCAACTTGCCTTAGACTCATCCCAAACGTATTATAACCTGCAAAGACCACAAATCCAAAGAAAAGACTCGATAAAACATTGAAAACGTGGGTTAGAATGCGTTAAAAACGCAACACATCAACTATCTTGTAGCAAACTCGACAAAATGAAGTTGTGGGTGGAAGGAAAGGAGTGTGAGAGAGACGATGTGGGTGACGCGTGTTTTTTATGACACGCGGTAAGTTGATACAACTCTCATGAACCAAATAGTTAAATTGGAAACACGCATAACTTGGTTCCAACAAACTAACCAACCCACAAGCTTCACATGGAGTTAAGAGGGGCCAAGGGAATAAAAAAAGTGAATGGTGATGGCTTTTTGGATTTGTGATAGTAAGAGTTGGAATATTTTGGGAGAAAGAGAAATCCAAGCAAAAGTTACATATCAAACAACGATAGAACTGAGAGCCATCTCTCAAATCATCCCCACACCAATTACATTTTTTGAATATGTAACCAGCTGGTATGATCTATCTTTCAGTGTATTGAGTTGTGAGGGTGAAAGGATGTTGGAGGTGATAAGGGTGTGTGATCTTCCTCGGATAATAGTGACAAATACCATGAAACTCCACATCACAAGTTGTGCAGTAGTAATGGTAAGAAACCGGTGAGAATTCTTCTTTGTCGCATGCGAAGCAACCCGATGGAGGGACTTTTCCGGGTCTACGGGAGAGGGTGTGAGGTTTTGTTGGATGAGATATACGACATATTGTCTCTTCTTCATTTGCAGCCATTTTTTTTTTCTTACAGTTTTGGTTTATGCTCGAATATTTTTGTCTGAAACATATATGACTCCCACTTCTCCCATCGTGTGGAGATGACTTTACTAAATGTGAATACAAGTTAATTTATTAGCAACTAAACAACGACCCAATAAATGGTATTGTATATGATACTTTATCTCTAGTACCAATTATATTATTAAGAACTAGGGTTGGACTCGCGCGTTGCGCTAATTTGGTTTCTTTTGATTTTTTTAGTTATTTTCCTATGTTTTGTACCTATATCATGTAGATCGTGTATTGGTAAATATTTATGTTAGTATATAAGTATC